CTCTATATTATAATCCGCGACGGTTTAATCCTATTCTTCTACGTTAACGATATCGGACTTATATATTATAGAGACCGTAAGACGGACGCTGATAACCTCGAGGCTGCCCTTAAGCGAAGCTATAGGTTATTAGGAGGCGAAGAAATCCGTTGGTTCCTAGGAATTAAGGTCCTAAGAGATAGAGCCACCCGTAGGTTATAGCTATTATAATCCTCTTACGTGGAGAAGATCGCGGTTAAATACTACGTAGATATACTCTGCCGAAAACCACTAAAGGTCCTATTATCTACGGAGCCGGTAATACCCCGAGACGGCACCCGCGCGTTAATTCCCGAGGTCTATTAGTATTAGGGAATAATCGGTTCTATCCTATACGCCGCTATCGTAATAAGACCCGATATCGCGTTCGCTTACTCGAAGCTTTCCTAATATAACGTTAACCCCTCCTCTAACTACCTTAAGAGGGCTTAATAAGTGCTGCTATTTCTATACCATATAAGACACCACTACTTAGAATTCGGTGGGGATAAACTCTTCCTAATAGTAAGCGACGCGTCCTTTAGGGATAATCTAGACCGTAAAAGCTCGTAAGGATATACGATAAAGCTTTTCGGCGGCACCGTTAACTAGAAGGCGGGTAAATAACCGATAATCACGACGTCGTTAATAGAGTCGGAATTACTCGCTCTTACCGAGGCAGCTAAGGAGACGCTATTCGTTAGCCGGATATTAAGGGATTTAGAGCTTCGGCTAGACTAATAATAGCTATAGCTATACTACGATAATTAACAGACTATTAACCTTATTAATAAGAAGGCATAACGCCTGCGAACAAGGCTACGGTATATTAATATTTATAACTAGTAGGCGCGTTAGACAGTATAGCAGGGCCTTTTAAAGGTTATATACGTTAACACGAAGGAGATAATCGCGGACGGTTTAACAAAGGCACTACCGGAGGCAGGAATTGAAAGACTATAGTAATAGCTTAATTTAACGGATTAAAAGGACCGTATCGAGTAGTCTAAACGACTATACGAAGAGATTAAACACGCTAAAGCCACGGCCGTAGTAACGACGAAGGCTCCTAAGGGCGTAGTAGATCCGATAGATATAGATCCGATTAAGTAGATCCGGCTAATCAGGATCGAGGAACTAATTAAGATATAATTAAATTAAACGGTTAAATAGGGCGGATTTAGATCTTTTTTACGAGGGCGTTTTCCCCTGACTATCGATTTTACGATGAAAAAGTTAAGAGCGTTTAGTTTAAACCGAAGCCTCTGATTAGTTAGTTAACCTGGGAAGACCCACCTTAACTAAGGAGGTGTGTCGTATAGGCAGGACCACGATATAGTCTATAGGGGATCTAGGGGGGATCCACTCTATAACTAAGGGCTCCGGATATCAGGGACTTCGGGCATCAGGATATAATAAGGGTGGATACCGGAAAAGACCAGATAGGATCAAAATGACATGGTACCTATAACGGAGTCTTCACCACCTAAATTAAGGGTATAAGAGACTCTCCTAGATGTAACTTAACATAACACACACACACGAGATTTCTGCTCTACTAAGTTGATCATTTAAGTGCCTATTAACGTGCGACAATAAGCATGCCCTTCTGATTCCATGGTGAAGAGACGTCATTTTAATTACATCGCGGCTAATAACGTTGAGAAGACGAAAGCAATCACCCTCCAGGGAAATACCAACAAAGCAGACAAGCCTCCTTATAGTATAGTACCGGTACTTCGGACGAACCTACTGAAAGACTTGACCAAGAAGATCGCCTGTCATCTGGATGCACAGACATATGGAAAAGCTGTAGGTAAGAAAGGTAGCCATGAATATAGGGTGGGTATCTGTGACTTGTTGGGCAACGAGCTACTGATGGTCATATGTACGTAGGACGGATAAGCAGGCATCATGCTCTCTCTCTCTTCGTACTACAACGTACGTCGTATAGTCTCTCGCGGCCAGAAGACCCAGATGGTATGCCTGCTTCAAGGCAACAGGGCCCACGTAACTCGGCTTCTTTTATTAATTCTTCGAGGGCGAAGGTTAGTTAATCTGCGCCTCTTTCCTCCTCTTAGTGAACTCGACTGACACGACGCCACAGGGTGCAATAAAAGACGAGCCGAAACTTTCATTCATACCACGTGGTCGCGGGTTCGCTGAATTCCCAAAGGCATGGGGCCCAGGGCTTAAGTTCCGAGTAGCGGCATTCCCCATTGCCAGCTGTCCAAGGTAGTGGCGTCGTCAGTGACACACCGCAGGTCGCCATCTCGGAACGCCATTTCCATTTCGTGATAGCGCTTCCCACGCGACTACCTAGGCCTCTTTTAGCGGCCGCGCCATTCGTCCCAGACACTAACACCTCTGCAAGGGTGGTGAGACATCGGTGGTCCTTCTGCCCGCTTCCTCCCCGCCTAATCTGATCTAATCGGTGCTAAATCAAGTTTCGAATTGCTGAAGAGTTTCTACGAAGTAGATTACCGAGACATGGTTAACGTGACCCGGAAATCTTTCGCGAGCCCGGCAATTCGAAGAATCGAGGCCCGACAGTCTGGTCGCAACGAGCCCGGGCGCCGCCGCTAGGTGGTGACAGATTCGACTTTACCGCCCAGGGGTTAATTATTGGCGCATTGAATCTATCCCGTTGTCAATCCGCGGAGACGGTGGACGAAATAAAATTACTGAGTGCCATGGCGACAACGTACAACGTATAACGTACGGGGTAGATACTTCGTAAAAGAGGATTCATTCCGCCGCCCCCAAACGGCGGCGCCAGCCACAAGGCACACTCCGTCCAACTGGTCATGGGTGTCGATGTCTACGGAGGCCGAACAAGACGATGCCTCTCAGCTTGACAACCCAAAATCTTGGTTCGCCCCGCATTTCCACCGCCAAGACAAAATAACGGACTTCTCCAGGGCAAGACCAGGAGAGCAGCTGCCAGCAAAAATGTCATTAGGGAGGGTGTCGCGGTGACCCGGTTGGCCTTAGCGGTCGGTATTGGACAGGGGTTCGCATGATTTCTTCAGCCACCAAAGAGTCGATCGTTGAACAGATGAGGTTCCTTTTATTAGTCTTCCTAACCTGGCACACATCTGTTCTCGCTATCTCTCTTCCTGGCTAGGGGCGAAAGGGGCTGTCAGGGACCATCGTGGTATCTAGCAAGAGTGGTTGACAACTCTGGGGAAAGCCACGATTCTAAAAGGCGGGTACGAATAGTACAAACTAAGGCTTCTCCACCAAAGAATGTTGTAGACCAGGTTCTAGGTCTTCCCGAGAAACTAGCGAGCCCGTGCAGCTGGGCCCTAGGAGGGTTTGGGTTCGTCCGCCGTGGATGGACGCCAACCATCAAAATATTTGTCCCCAGAAGGGCATGACGCCGCGAACGGGGGAGGGGGGGGGGGCATCGGCCTCTCGCACTATCACCAGTCGTTTAGGCGAAATGACTCTCTTCACTATTGACTTCATAGATAGATCAAGGGCCAGATTTATGTTGAGCCCGACGAAGGGGGGAGGGGGGGGGGGGGTTGGAGCCGAGACCTAGTCACAACGACATGATGGATTCGGGACACCCCCGGCTGCCTCAATTAAATTTCTGATCAAGGGAAACCCAGGCAGAGTTGGTGAGGACGGTAGAGGGAGAGCCCAGTCCGAACAAAGTGGCAAGGAGGCCACTCAATAGAGGGAAAAAAACCCCGGTCGTACCCTGCAGTCTCCTTCATATCCTGATTTAACATTCCACCTTGTCTTGGGTAGTCGATTTTTCATATAATGCATAAGAACGAAATCCTGTGTGGCGGCACTGGCGTGAGCCTTGGCAACCTGGAGGACCGTTATGTAGGATGATGATCATTATCTCCGTCCTTGTTGAACTTGTTTGGGTCGCCCAAGTTTGGAATTTTGGCCTCCATCTTCAGTCTTTTTCGTCTGCAGACTTCCTCGGAACCGTTTTGATAGAAAACCATGGCGCCTAACATTCACGACGTCCGGATTCTCAGTGCCAAAGAAAGGTCGCAAAACAAGGGACAAATAGAGAACATTTCCGAGTCGGATGGTGTACATGTACGTTGTAATTAGTTGTTATGCGAGATCCTGCGCTTGAATCGCGGTGACGAGCCTGCCAGATGTCGCGGAAAGTCTGATCCGATGAAACTTCGTGTACGCACACATGGCCTGTCAGAAAAAAGGAAGCCGAGATCAGGGGAATTGAAAAGAAAGGGTGTTGGCGACAATGGCGTGTATAACCAGGAGGACATTATACGTGTGGACCCGGGGGAACGATGGATGAAAAGAATGTCTCAAAGACTTCGGAGGAGCGCAGGGATTGATTGTTTGATCACTTCTCACATAACCTGGGAGCTGTACGAACAAGGGGTAAATATGCTCTCCTTTGAGACTGGTTGCGATCCGAAATGTGACTGGTGATAGTCGAGGAAACCGGCCAACCAACGGTCAGCTTGTTCATGCCTTGTTATGCTGCCAACGATACAGGGCATTTCGGCGAGATTGTCGGTGAAAGGCGTCAAAAGCAGCAGAAGTACCTTAAAAACAATGCCCAGCTCAGCGAAGTAAAATCCTGGATATTATCCCCGAGCTCGCCTCTGATTGTTTGTCTCCCTGTATCAATAGACCAAGCGTACGCAACTGGGACTGTTGTTAAACCAACCAGGACTGTTGTTAAGCCACCCCCCGGCTGTGGGATCCCGTCCTGTCTGTCGCAAGCATGGCCCTTCGCCTCCACGGCGAAATACGGAGTCGTCCAACATCGCCCGCGGGTCATGACTATCCCTGTCAACGACGAATCGACAGACAAATCGACAAATCAGCCATCCACAAAGATATGAAGTCAAACGGGGGAAAGACTGCTGGCTTGGCCGTTCTCCGACAGAACGTCCGCCTGACAAAGAAACAGCAAGCGACACAAGCTGTTTCTTCTCCATCCTTGAATTGCTGGGTCGCGGAGGAGGGGGGGGGGGGGAAGAAAAATGCCGACGGCGGCTATCTCCATTGCTTAAACGCTGGCATATGTCTGGTTCGGCTCCGGTCTTCCAGTCTCTTCCCGTGAGATAAGATGTCACGTCTCGGGTGTGTTTTTGTTTGAACTAAACGCAAGCACTGGAGAGGGCGATAGGCTGCGATCAGCTCAAACAATTGCCCTCTCATACCCTTCGGTTTCCTGCAGGATGTCAAGAACCAGGCTCTGACAAGTCTGATGCTGGTGGCATTGGTGCATCGCTTGATGCTAATGGCTAGCATGGTTCTGTTGTTTGCATCTCCATGAGCTGAGGAAGGGCCTCTTGTGAATATTGCACATTTGGTGGACGTCCAAATGTCTCCTGGGAAGTGATTTCTCAAGGAGACTAAGAGTAGATGGACGATTCTGGTTGGCATGGAAAATGCTGTTTGGAGGGGTAAGGGGGTTCCCGCTCCCTGCGGAAACGATATATTTGCATCACCATGTCGTATGTAGCCGGGGAGGAACTGTCCTGTCAACGGTAGATCACCATGGCACTCTTGAGCATTAGTCCGTCGCCGTAGGATTCGGCACAAGTCCAAGAAGTCGTAGCGATGATCCTGCGGGAGGACATGGCGAGGCAAATATATCAGAAGGTCGTCTCCGAACCACCGTCTCGACTTTGTCATCTCTTCCCTGGAGAGTTGCAGTGTCGGGTTCTGAATACCAGGACGCTGCAGATCTTCCATTGCGCTTAGGTCAACAGGAAGGAGATCCAAAGTCTAGTTATGCGCCTCAGTGTCAGCAGACTCGAATCACACCACCACAGGTCAACAAGATAGGGAAAGGGATTGGGCTAGCCAGGCAACTCTTCGAGCAGACAGCACGGACGAAGGACATCGGCGTGAGGCTCTTAGGACGAGTTCCAGCTCTCTGAACGGAAGCAAATAAGACAAATGGGAGAAAAGAAAAGTAAAAAAGAAAAAAAGAAACATCCACAAGTCCGTCTCAAAATCCTATAATCGAAGACCACGTCTAGACTGGCGTGGCGTGTCGGGTATTTGGCCTTCCGTACGGCCATCCACGGCGATCGATCGCTTTCCTATCTCTAGCTGTGACGCTCCCATAAAGTGCTCGTCGCATCTGAGGGGCACTTCCATGCGACATCTATTGAAGAAGTTCGCAAAATGTCTCCTAATCCCCCCTCTAAACTCTTCAGAAGTAATTGCCTAGGCGTTGTTGATGCGCCCGGTCTTTCCGGGTGTTGAAGGCTAACCCTAGCTATAGCCGGAAACAACGCGTTCTAGATGGACAACCCCTATAATGCCGGTTGCAGTATGTCGTTGTTGAATATGCATGATTCTTCTAGGCCGAAAGTGACATCGACTCGGCCATCTCTTCCGTTACAGGCTCACTTTGCGATCCCACCGGATCATTAGTTGTCAGCCCCTTTCTGATGGCCAACACATTGTCTACAATGACAGCATCGATGCCCTCCTTCACTTGGCGCTACAGAGGGATGCAGTTGTTAGCTGTGATGCTCAAAGGTGTTCACCAGCCGGACGCTGACAGACAGGGTAAAAAACATACCTGAACATTGATTGGGTCATTGTTCGCAACACCGTAGCTCACGCAAACCAGGCCGCTCTCCTTGACAACCCGGACCAGCCGCGGGCTGTTTACGAACGGTTCTGCAGTACTCACGATTCCGATGAGATTCCAGCGACTAGCGAATCGAATGGCTTCCTGTAGCGAAGACGCTCGCACGTCGGCTACCGGGCTTGATCCTGCATCCGTGAGGAACATGATGGGAATTGATGGCTGTTTGAAGCTGAGACAGAGACAAATGTCGGGGTTGAAAGAGCTGAAGATGATATGCCGGTTCCCCGCAAGGTCGTAGACCTTGGACAGGACAGTATCGCAGAATGAGTTGAGCTCGACGGCATACGTGTCCATCTCGTGCTCCTCGCTCTCGTGTAACATGGGATACTTCATTTCAATGTTGAAGCCAATGTTCTCAGGCAGCTGACGAAACAGGTCTTCGAGTGTCGCAAATGGAGCCTGGATGAAGTTTCCCCGTGAGTTGGCTTTGTACCCCTTCACCTTGAAGTCGCGCGTATGCTTCATCCGCTCGTCGAGCCCGTCCGAACGCATTCCTGCGAACCCCAGCGATAATGAACGTTGCCGGGCTCCTCCAGACCCTGCGCCATTCATGACGGCCCTTTTGGCAACATCATTAGCCACTTCGCTAACAGGATTCCGCTTCGAGTCGGGGTTGATGTGCAAGAATTGTTCCAGAGTAAGCGTATGGACGGGAGCATCAATACCCGTCTCACTGACGAGGAAGTCGTGATAAATGACAGGGACATGATCTTTGGTCAGCTGTACATCGAACTCGACGTACTGTGCTCCCAAATTTGCTGCGGCGATGAAGGACGGGACAGTGTTCTCGCCGAGCTGCAGTGACCTGTTCGACGTCAAGTTCTTGCCCATACCGCGGTGGCCGATAACCATGGTCGAAGCCAGTTTCTTCCAGTATGTCTGCTGCGAGTTGATCTCCATTTTGGGATGGGAGAAGGGCGTGATAACCAGGAAGTTGAAGTTGACCGTGCCAATCACTTCCAGATTACCTCCCATGATCGGCACGCAGACGTCGCCCTGCAGGTTCATGCGTTTTGTGCCTATAGGTGGTTTTACTGCGGAAAGGAGGGCCACCGCTCGGCCAATCTTGTTCTTTTCATTACCCGAGTATGTCGGCACAATGTCGAACAGCAGTTTGACCCGGGTGACGTCAGGGGTTGTGAACACAATCGGCTCGGTAGAGATATTGTCGTGAACCGGCAGGTCGATGGTGGTCGGCTCTCCATGAGCTCCAGAGGCCGAGACGACAGCAGAGAGAGCGGTGTCGAGCTCCGTTAGATGGGCCTCAGTCAGGGGAACTCGGTCGAGCTTGACAGCTTCAATGTTCTTGCGCATGTCCATGGAGCCCAGGCTGACTAGGACCAGGCTCTCCTTCGTCAAGTATCGATGGCCAAAGGTTTTGACGGGCTCTGCAGAGCGGACGGATCCATTTGACGTGCGTCCGTCGATAGACGAAGTCTCGGGAGAGGCTGGTGGCGAGCTGCTGCCACGGCTCTCACTGGCCACAGACCGGGCGGCCACACTCGATGCCGACGAGCTGACATTGTCTAATGTCGCGAGGAGCCGGGCAATCAGGAGGTGTCCCCGCAGAGCAGCGTGCTCTCTCGCGGTCCAGCCAGAAGAATCGGGCCTGCTCACATCGGCTCCTGCATTCACGAGCAACTGAACGACAGGGAGGTGACCATCCACAGCAGCGACATGCAACGGCGTCCAAGAGTACACACTCTCGGCAATGTCAACATCAGCCTTCATCTCGTCCGTTCCCCGGAGGAGGACTTCGGCGCAGCCAGCATGCCCATACCGCGCAGCAACGTGCAATGCTGTTTCCCCGGCCGTGTCGCGCCAGTTCACATCGACGCCGGCATCCACCAGCATCTGCACAATGATTTCATAGTTGGCTTTAGTGGCCAAAGCCAGGACAGCCCCGGACTTTGCGACGTGTTTTCTCATTTCCAGCTTCTTCTTGTGAAACCCGTCCCAGTCTTCGCCTCGAAGCAAGGCCTCGGTCGTGAGAGGATGCCCGCCGATGACGCTGAGGTGCAGGGGGGCAAAGCCGTCCTTGTCCTGCCATTGGGGCGCATCGATGCCATCCTCGACACTGAACTGGCCCCATTCTTGCATCTTGGCCATGATGACCTGGCACAGGACGACGAAGCCAAAATGAGCGGCGTAGTGGAGTGGGATCCTGCCAAATGAGTCCTTTGCGCTCAGAGCAGGCCTCTGTTCGGGACTAAGCTGGTCCAGCAGATATATCAAGAGCTGAACCGCTTCATCGTCTTTGGCCAACAGCTTGCCTTCGTCCTGATTCAGCATTCGAGCGATGGGGCCTGGAGAGGTCGCTGGATGCATATACTGAGATGTGAATTGTGTCCCGACGGGGAACGGATACACGCTGGGCTCTTTCTCAGGTGAAGGCGCTTTGGTCCGGCCAAAATGGATGACGAGCCTGTGAATGCAGTTGCGTCCGTTGATATCTTCGGGTTCGTCTAGTGTCTGAATGTGCTTGATGAGATGGGCAATGGTGTTTCGGGACCTTGCTGAAATTGAACGCTGGAGAAGGTTCAAAAGGAGATTCTGGGAAGAAAGATCCTTGGGCTTATTTGTTTCTTGTAAAACCTTCTCTAAGGCGGTGACATCGTCTTTCCGGATGGCCTGGTCGAGCCCGTCCAACACAGCTTGGGGAAGTGTGAGCATAGCCTTGGCAGAAGCTCGCCCAAGAGATCGGACGGATCTGTCTGATTTGGAGTCGTCCAGGTTCTGAGCGTCGCCGAGGACCGAAAGCCATTTGTTGATCTCGCCAAGCAGCCGGGAAGTATTTGTGTCCTTGGCAAACGGCTTGACGTCAACTTTGGTTGAAATGTAACGATGCTGAGTTGATGTCTCGGGGACCTTCTTGTCGAGCTTCTTCGTAATCTTCACAAAGCCACGGCGGTTGATTTCACCGAACCATTGGAGGTTCCTTAACTGACTGCGGAGCTCAAGAAGTGCACCCATGAGCTCCTCGATTTCATCTTGGTCGAGGCTTGCGACGAATTCGGAGCCGCGACCATATCGATCGTGCAGCAGGTTCAGGCGGCGAACGGACTCGGCGAACTTTTTGTTGTAAAACGAATCTACATCCTCCAAATTCCGGTCCAAGACAAAGAAAAACTCTGTGTCGTCACGTTAGGAGGGGAGGACAGCCTGGGTAACGGAGTGAGAGTCCAGGCAAGCTCCTACCTGCGAGATCAACCTGCCCACCCGCCTTGACTGTTTCCGAAGCAGCCTTGATGAGCTTCTTCAAGGCTTTATAGTTGATATAGAATGATGCCCATTCTGGGACTTGGTTGCGTGGCAAGCTAGTATGATGTCAGATGACTTGACTTGGGCAGATGTGTGTAAGGGTAGATGTGGAGGACGTACTTTCTGCCGAACTTCATCCTGAGCCTGTGACCTCGGTCTAAGAATTTCGATATGTGAGGAACAAAAGGCAAGGGGAGGAACCTTATGGGACGATATTCGGAAAATGAAAAGACCGAAATTCGGCGAGCTACCGGAAGTCAGAGCAGGAAGGTTTAAAAGAGGTGAAAAGCGGCAACCCGATCTTTAAGACACACGGTCGAACCCTCTTCCGCCTTGCTTCAGGACGACAAGACTCGCAACTTGGTTTGCGACTGGCTGTCTAAATGTTAGATCGTCCAGGTGCCATTTTGTCTTATTCGGTAGTTCGGCCGTATTAGAGACTGGGTGGGAGTCGGAGAGAAAAGAGGAACACAAGCCCTCACGGTACTGATTGAATATGCGACCGAGAAGTGAGCCTGAGGGAACTTGGCCCCACCCAGATGGGGTCTGAAGCTTAACTGGTTAGAGACGCGAAGACATTCGTAAAAACGAGGGGCGGTGGTGAATTATAAAATTATTCCAAGTCTATCCAAGCCACTGAGGGACTAGGAGAGTAGGTTTGATGTTGAGTTTCGAGTCAAGAGAAAAATAGAGAGGGAGAGGGAAAAAAGGAGTCAGGAGCAGGCTATACGGCGGTGGAGGAGAAAGAACAAGAACAAGGCAAGGAGTCACTGGATCCACGGCGGTGAGCCACGGTGTATACGTCTTGGAAGTAAAAAAAAAAAAAAGACGCCTCTGAACCGTCTCGATAATGTATGGAGTACGGAGTACTAAAGGGTTGGTTGAACCTGCAAGAGTAAGGTACCGAGAAGATACTTCTTCATAGCGGAGCTACTGCATCCAATAGGTCTGAGACATGGTCACTCGTGCATGCCAGGTGGAATCCTGTTGGATACTACCGGCTGCCACTAGACCTCATACGGACGATTCACATACGACCCCACCAAACCACGTGACTTACCCCGGCATACGCTCATGTCAAGGGGAGCGGGATGGTAATTACTCAGGTCCAGGAACAGGGGCATTATTAATAGACCCAAGGTAATTACGACAGCCACAGGACGGACAGAATACGGGAACCTCGTCCTTTCAAGAGGCGAATGGGCATGTGCACCGTATAGTACCTGCATGGTCAGCTACAATGGAGTACAGAGTACGAATCAATAAATTTTCCTCGAGCATGTCTACGGATATGATATCAGCAGTTGACCACGGCCGTCTAACCACTTTTGGCCAGTTCTCATTGGGTGTTGCTTCTGACGAATTTTCAGATCCAAAGAACTACGAGGTAGAAAGACCCTCTAAACACAGACCGACTACCAGGCTGTCGAGTACGTAGCAAAGGTTGAAGGGACGTGCGGGACATTGAATCTCCTATTGAAATTGGCGAGCCCCAGCTGCTTCTTCAACATCATGTGGTTCACTATCCCGCTTTGGCCCCGCCCCCACCTTCAATCCCAGCCCAAAAGTGTCTGCTGCTGAGTAGACTAGCTGGAATACGGATACATTCATTGACTGGTAGAGTGCGGCGAAGAAAGATAAAAGTACAGTACACCAACGTCGACCGACGTTGGCATACGGATCCAGTCGGTCGCGTCTAAAGAACACCTTAAACATGTTCTCCGAGGACAAAGATATGAGACTCTGCAAGTGCCGTTCTATCAATGGCTGATCCGTACCAGCGAAGTCAGGCAACGCCTAACCCAATAGATCTGTTGCCGTATGTTGACGTTGGTAGAGGGCTGCCCGCCACCTCGAGCCCGCCATATCCACTTGTTGTTGTCCGGGCTACATCCATCACTGGATGCCGTGGCGTGGTCATCGATGTATCCGCCATCGGCAAAGCTGCACTCCGTGACACTGCAGCAAAGCCACCATCCTGGCCCCCCAAGACTTCCAGGTCTGCGCTCTTCCTTATCAAAGGCCTCGCATCCTCGTCACACCTTCCAAGTTCCCTCCCAGTCTCTACAGCTTCTCGTACGGCGATCCGAAGTGTGTCCAATCTCGCTTGAGCTTCGTCCACGTGGCGTTGGAGAATCATGGGCTGAACAGATGTTTGCCGTTCTTGCTGTTCGGCAAGGCCTGGGCTCATCACTTCCGCCTCTTGCGTGACCAATAGGACTTGGGCCGGAGATCCTAACTCGAGAAAGTCCAACAGCCTCTCCAAACCTCCAAGCGGAGCGCCGCCATTGGGCGAAGCTAGGTTGGATACGCCGAAGGGGGTTCGTGGCTCAACTGTGGCGAGAATTTTGACGAGACGCGTCGCAACATCCTCGCTCAAGGCATGGGCGCATTGGTCCAGCATCTGTCGCACCGTCTGCGACCCGATATAGAGGCCGCGCTGCCAACAGAATATCACTGTCGCCACCGCCTGTCGTAAGCAGTCCATCGAAAGTAGGCCTTGAACGAAGGCCGTCATGACGTCTGGACCGAACCACGGCCGCTCGTTGATGAAGCCGTCTTGCACCGCCGTATCTTTGATTTTGGCCCACTTGGTCAAGTACGTATGCCGGCGGACATCTTCGACCGTCTTTCGTCTGATATTGATCCCCCTAGCGTCGCGGCCGGTACACCGCTGGATGATTCCGTAAAAGCGGACCAAGTCACCCTGCTCTTTGTAATGATTGAGCAGGCAGACCAACGCCTGTTGTGTCGGCTCCAGCTTGGAAAAGTAAAGGAAGTGCCGAACGGCCGCGTTCGCCAGGCCATGCTGGCCCATGCGATCAAACCCGAGTATAAGAGTCGTAAGGGTATGGATTGTCGGAGGATGTGGGGACACGAGAAGGTTATGACACATCTTGGCGACGCTTTCCTTGGGTTCCCACGAGGAGTCTCTTTGCATCGCCGCTCGAGAATTGTCCAAAATAATCCGCAGGCTGCGATTGAGTTCCACGCTGCGAGCCATAAGATCCTCGGGGTGGCCGCGTGCTCCGACGTAGGACGGGTACTGCCACACCCTGCGTTCCTTGCTCGACCCGGCTTCTCGAGGCGCTTGGGCTGAGTAATAGTCGACAAGACATTCCTTATAGATTTCGAGCTCTGAAAGCCCGGCCGCCTTTAGTAATTGGACAACCAAGGACCGAGTGGAATTCTCCTGGGCGCTTAACTGCCGGGTGCTCCTCGGGGCTCTGTGGGCTATGTGTGGGGAGGACTCTTCTTGGTCGAGGCGGCGTTGAAGGGCGTCATAGTCCGTCTTTTTACCCTCCTGAATGCTCCGTTGCAACTGAGGGAGACCAGAGGCTCGCAGCAGCTTTTGTAAATCATCAGATCGTACCGGCATTCTCGACCAAGTAGATGCATCCCCGAGGGAATCCAGGAATTCTGCGATGCCGGTTTGCCGCACACGAGCCGCGCGCCACGCGCCTTTGCAGCGGTTTTGAATATCACCAGCCGGTACCGTTGCCGCAGCAGGATCTGAATAGCGTTCAGCCAACTCCATTACCATGTTCAGATCCGCCTTGGCCTCTTCTAGCTGGCGGGCCAACTCCTTCCTACGGTCGTCCTTATGCTTCGCATCTAGCATGGCAGCAGTGCCCATGATGGAGGTATAGAAGACCGTGAACACCTCTCCGAAGGTGGGTTTACGTCGAGTGGCCCTCGTCGCCGAGTGTCGAATCATGCCGCTGGTCGCTTGAAGACATCCTCGGCAGCTGCAAATGCGCGCCTGGCCCCCGCGAGACCAGAGCGCCTGCATCGTGCCGGCATCGGGGATGACAAGGTCGTCGCTTTGTCGAGCACCGGCGCGCTCTTGTCGATTTGCAGACGGTAGAAATGTATCGCTTCCGCCCTGTTGGAGGACTATCCTGTGTAGTGGTCGTTCGATTTTGTCGTGTTTACGGGAATTCGGGCCAATTGAGCGGCTTTCTGATCGCTCAAAGCTATATCACGTGACTTACATCTGGTCCGTGCACCTAGCTCCTCCAGCTTGGAAGGTGATGCCCATCGCTGATCGCTTGACCGTGAGAGAGATTTGTTGGTACGAAATACTTCGTACCTACGAACGCTTCACTTTCCATTCAATGCCATCAGAAGTAGGCCAAACTTTTTTGTAGGTGCCATCCCATGCAGGTCTTCTACTCAGTATTTCCCCTAGAATCACGAAGAGATGCTTCGTGCTTCGTTATTATATAATCACTTCCGTGTCTATGTTAATTAAACCCCGGTAACTAACCTATTGGTATTCCATTATCGCGATGTACCCCGCTCTCTCAGCACCGTCGATGAACTGACCCCTCATCTCATTCCATTTCCCCAAGTGCAGTAGTCGTAAGTATCGCTACGGAATCGGAAGTGACGAGATCTTGCACGTTTCTTCCTAAAAAACGGTGGTTTCTACTGGTGAGCCATCACTATGTATGCCTTAACGCTCAAGGGTGAATTACAAGGGTGAGACGAAAAGATTTCCCACGGCACAAGCCAACACAATTACTTTCTTTTATTTACTCTTACTTACAACCGGCCGCTTCATAGGGTCACAAATCTCCGCCCCAAAGACACGGAAGATGCGCCTTTCTGGTATATCTTCAAAGTCCAGTGCACCTCGTGCCGAGAGACACATCCCAATACCGTAGGCGTAAATCGATTCGTAAGCTTCGAGCCCTGAATACCTCTCCTCGTACTCCCGTCTCTCAATGCTGATGTGTGCCCATCGTTCCTGGTTGCAAGGACATGAACGAGATGAGCGGTAGTCGTGGTCAGGCCAACTTCGTCTGGAAATGCAAGAACTGCAAGAGAGAGTCCTCGGCTACCATCCAGGCGGCCCCGACGCCCTACGAACAGTCTGAACCTGCCAAAGCCCGCAGAATACTCGAGTTCGATTGCCGAGGCCTCGAGTTCACCGAGTTCGTGCCGGAAGGGGAGTGGCTTGCAGAAGGTCCCGAGTCAGGCACCAAATTCGAAAGCATCGAATTGACTGATGGGGAGTGGTACGACTATGATGAGAAGGCTGGGGAAGAGGTGAGCATCAAGGACCTATCATGGGAAATTCAGCGGGCTTGATTGCGGGAATTTCCAATATACTGAGCACCTTTTTTTCAACCGTTCTTGTCTTCGTGTATATTCTTCTCACATATCCCTGTCCGAGTCGGCGGCTATGCTCTATGTAGTCAACGTATTGTTACAACAGGCTTGCCAATCATCATGAGAGCTCTCGTCTTCGCCTCGAACGACGGGTGAAGACAATGCAAACCCCTGACCGCATGATCTGTCCATATAAAGCGCATTTCGTCATAACGCATTATAATTTCCCTTGTCCCAATATCTATCCCACCCACACCAACTGAGGCATCAGAAGTATCGTGAAGTCTTCGTAGGAAAACGGCGTAAGATACGCCATCTTCTCCCAAATGCTGGCAACCCACAAACATTGGATGTCAAGACGTAAAGTAGCAAGTCATGCTATCCGATAGTCTCGTGGTATTGACTAAGTCGTAGACTCCGGGGGCCGAGTGAACAAGCAAGCATTCGTTCGTGTAGTACCGTAACTGATGGGAGAAGATGGAAAGTCGACTGGCCACTTGGCCCGTCAGCCCACTCATTAGAGGAAGTAGTCGCCAGCACCACGGCGATTAGCTGGGACATGGCGCTGGTCGTCCGGAACCGCAGAGAAAATGCTGAATTTCGTGTTCATATCCTTATCCACCGTCATGATTGACGCAACGTTGCCGCAGCGGTAGCAGTAGTTGGGGGCTGACCAGACGGTCACGACAGAATTCTGGGGAAAGTGGTACTGCAAGACAGCGTTAGCACCGACATCGGCTGCGTGAATGATCCAGGGAGCCGAGACAAGAGAGTGGGAAGCAATATACCTTGTAGCCTTCGTTTACAAGTTGGTGTGCCCGGGCAATAAGCTTGAGTCCGTTGACATGATTGAACTCGTTTGCCACCTTGTCCCCGAACAACCACCCAGCGCCACGCGGGCTGATAGCCCATGTATCGACATCTTCGGGATCAGACCAGACAAGGTCGCAGAATGCGCCCTCGTGGGGGATTTCCTGCGCCCGGGCCACAACCCGAATCTGATCAATAGTCCTGATTTCCGGGCTGAGACCGCCGTGTACACAGAGAAGCTCGCCGTCAACGATGGCGGCTAATACAAGAAAATCGAAGACATGACAGCAGGCCTTCCAGACAGAAGCATTGCCATATTTCTGTTGACATTCCTGGTAGAACCCGTAGACCTGCGTAATCTGTCGAGATTCGTGATTGCCCCGTACGAGGACGATTCTATCGGGATACCTATTGCTTTGTTAGGTCGACTGAGGAAGGGATCAACCGGATTAGGGGCAACGCACTTCGCCTTCAAGCACATCAACAAGGTGAATGTCTCGAGACTGAAATAGCCTCTATCCACAAAGTCACCGAGGAACACGAATCTGGTCTCAGCGGACTGTGAGCCGCCAACCTCAACGGCCGAATCAGGCCGAGGCGACGATCCAGCTGCGCTGATACCGGCTGCATCTTCTTCCACGTCCTCAACTGCTCCGCCGTTCGAACTTTGGGCCTTGATGCGTTTCTTGAGCTTGGGGTCTGTGATTTCTGTCGGCGGCTCAATATCCTCCGACGTGATGATGCTAGTAGATGTCTTCGGTGCCTGAACATTCGACTCTCCAGGCATTCCCCCAGCAACACGGAAGAGCTCAAGAAGGTCGTAGAACTGCCCGTGGATGTCCCCGCAAATGGTAACAGGAGTGCAAACCGGTTGAATATTGGATTCTGACGAGTTTCGTCAGTAAACCTTTTGGGGGAAATTGATTGGTGGTCTCGCAACATACCTTCCATCAGCACCTCTTTGACCATCTCACATAGCTCCTTCATGACCCGTTCAGGCAGATAATGGCACTGTTTAGCCTCCTCCAGCCACTCATCTAGACCGGCATTGAGCGAGAGATTAGCCGGACCTGGCCGAGGGATCTGGCTCGACATAATGAAATAATGGGCTATGACACTCTCGCAAGCTTTCTTCGCTTTGGACCCAAGACCAAAGAAGGACCCAAGACGACGGAGGCTCCCGGACTGGCTCGTTGGTTGTTGGGGAGCTCGAGAGCCTTGACTAGAACCGGCAGAGCGTGACTGGCCGGAAGAATGTGATGGTGCACCTCCTACTCCACCCTCAGGAGGATGGTCGTCGGGATGCTTATCGTCCGGGCGATGTCGTGTCTGTGGAGAATTGCTGGACTTGTCCTGCGCTTCTTCTGAGTCACTGTCACTCTCAGAATCAACGTCCTTCCGCCCGTCAGCTAGGGACTCCTCGCGTATAGAGAGAAGTGGGTGATTACGTGGCCTGCGAAAGTGGGATGCAAACGCGGATTGGAATCGCGGAGCCCTAGCCTGGGGTTGAGGAGGCTCGGGTGGAAGTTGAGAAAGAGGCCTTGGGTGGTAATGAGAAGAAGGGCGTTCTAGAGATTGTGTTGATAAGCTTTCACGCCGCGGAGGCAAGACGTAGCAAAGTCGGGCCTCGCCAATCTCGGGGTCCTCAAAAGAATCCAATAACTCGCTGTCATCAAGTGGGGGAGAAGGGCTCTGTTGTCGATCTCGAGCTACCGTAGTATGATCGGGGGTACCGTGGTGAGAGTCACCAACAATCCGATCCTGATGTATGTCAGGAAAAGGAACGGAGTCCGTGAGCCCCACTGGGAAGTCCGAGGTCGATGCAGACAGAGGAACCGCTGATCTGCTGGGGCGTGTGTGTTCGTTCCCAGGCACAGAGAGACGCACAGTGAGACGCCGAGGTCTTCTCAGTATAACCGGGCTACTGGGCGGCTGGTATCCCCTCGCTGGCGGCTCAGGAAGTGGACGTGGACGAGGCGGGACCTGAGGCTGAAGCTGCGTGCTCCTGTTGTTCTCTCCAAAGGACCAAACCACGTCTGAGCGCTGACGCTGCCGTCGTCTTTCCTCAGACTCGGTAAGAGGATTGCCGTAACCCCCAACGGTGACTGGTCGAGAAGAGGTGTAAAGAGGTAAAGTGCGACTCGGCGTAGTAAGCCGTGGGATGTAGCCGGGACGGCCAGGGACAGGAATACCGGCGCGAGAACCCCGTTCTGGATGGTCGGTTTGCTCGGAAGAGACTTGGTTCCGGTTGGCTTGATTGTCGTTAAATCGGTTGACGCTGGCTTCTAGTTGAGCAGTTGGGAGTGAAAAACAAAGTGTCGCACTCCTATTCCGATTTCGACCGGCAGGAACGGGGCCGTCTCGTCGAGCAACGTTGGTAAGCGGGTTTCGGTAAACCTGATTTGCTCTTTGAATCGCCGCTTCGATTTCGGACTCGGAAGGAGGCGTATATTTCTGAGTGGACTGAATGCTGGGCGTACGTCGTCGCTGGCCGACGGGAGACAGGTTGGACTGTTGATCAGACTGTTGGATAGAGAGGTCAGAGCCAACACTGTCGTTGTTGGCAGGGAATGGCTCCCAAGCCGCCCTGGTCTCCATTCTGTCGGCTGATTATCGGTGTAGCTATTGGCTGTGTGTCGGGTAAACTTCGGTGTTAGGAAGTGATCTCGGGTGAAATACTTTCCGAGTATCAGAGCTTTTGGTGTGAACCCTCAGTGAAAGTCATGTGATGTCACCCATTGTTCAGATAAGCTGCACCTTCCTGTTGACTTAGACCCCACCGGGGGAAGTCGAACAGCATCTCGCAGTTACCCTGGGGAACTCACGACTTGTGTGAGTAATACATTCCAACCTCCTTCTCTCTTTGCTGCTAAAGACGTACAGCATCGTCTCTCTCTCTCTCTCGCACACACGTCTGACATGTCTTTGATGATTCAGGTACAATCTCTCTGCCCCGTGGCAAAGAGGCACAGCCTTTAAAGGCGATGTGTTGGACCTGTATCGACAGACAACAACTCTAAAAGGCCTTTATACCATTTTGGCCACCTCTGCCTACAAGGCCGTCCTCGATATTATACCCCAACCATTATATTGGACTCAAGCTCAGCCCTGGCCATTTGGACGCTCTTGTCACAATGCAGGATCGGACTCTTCCCCGAAAGGCGAACGGGGTTCTCCCCATCACGGCAAGCCAAACAGCCGGCAATACGCAATCTTCCAACGCGACGAAATCAGCAAAGGTCAAGACGCCTATTGAGGGGGACAAGCTCTTAATCCGCAGACTTCCGCCAGGCTTAACGGAGGAGGAGTTCTGGAACATCTTGGGCCCTCAGTGGAGACCCGGCAAAGGTCTGGTCGACTGGTTCGACTTCAGAGCTGGAAAGGTGTCACAAGAGTACGTTAGGAGTGTGGGCTTTCCTCCTGAGTATCAGCTAACGGACTCGTAGTCCGGCAAAAACATCCAAGCCTGCAAGAGTCTACCTCCACGTGAAGAAACGCGACAGCCTGACAGAGCTTTCCGAGATTGTGCAGACCAAGGGCTGGGAAGATGCTAAGCTCACGTACAACAACACATGTCTAATTGGCCCTCCTGCCTTGGAGTTTTCCATCTACAAAAAGATACCCGGTCCTAAGAAACGAACTGATCCGAGGCAAGGCACGATCGACCAAGACCCTGAGTTCATGGCATTCCTTCATTCTCTTACGAATCCCGAGCCCGAAAAGGAGACCGCTCCGATTGACGATAAGGCTGCAGCTGTGGCGGAGGAGAGCAAGTCTGAGACAAAGGTGATGACGACGCCCTTGATCGAGTACCTTAAGGAAAAGAAGGCAAATAAAGCGAAGGAAGCCGCGGCCGCCAAGATCTCCAAGCACAGTAGACAAGAGTCGCAGGGTGGCAAGAACAAGTCTGCGACGGACGACGTGAAGAAGCCAAAGAAGGAAAAGGAGAGCAAGACCAACAAGGTGGCTGAGAGGCCCAAGGAGACGGTGAAGATCTTGACTAAGAAAGAGAAAGCCACTACAGAGGCTGCTAAAGCCGCAGAGACCGTAGCCAGTCAACTCACTGCAAGTGCTCAAGAGGCACCCAAGAGTCGACGAGCCAATATTGCCGCTGCAGCGCGTATCCTCCAGCGAGATCTGGGTCTTAGCCCGGGAAGTGCACACCGAAAAGCGCGTCTCAACGCAGCGAAATCGGAAGGCGAAGCGAAGCCAACGTCATCGAAAGATGCAACCACATCATCGACGACCGAACCGTCTGCGGTTGCTGCCGGTGCCGGTGCCGGTGCTGGTGCTGGTGCTGGTACGGCCGCTGGTGCTGCCGCTGCATCCAGCACGACCACGAATTCGGCTGCTCCAGCCGCTTCGTCGAGCGCTCCAGCTACAAACACGGCGTCAACAAGTCAGCCTGCAGACAGGTCAACCACTCCGACGGCATCCAAGTCAGGTCGATCGCGCAGGGGAGGCGGAGGTAAGAACGCTAACTCAAGCGAGGCCAAGAACAAGAACGCGGACCCCGCGGCCGCCGCCCCAGCCGCACCGACTCCTGCCAAGGGCCCCATCGTACTTCTCAAAAAGAAAGATAAGTCACAGGCTCCAGCAGCAGAGTCGACCACCCCTGCATCGAACTCCCCGTCATCCGCCAAGGCGCCCGCTCCTCAACCTGGATCCAAAACCTCTTCAGGCAGAGCGGCGGGAGGCGCTAAGAAATCCTCGGCAACAGTGACTGCCGGTGCAATTCGTGGCTTCGTCAAGCATGCGAACCCCTCCCAGGGCGTCACCGAAGCGGCCCTTAGACAAGCTCTAGAGCCATTCGGCGCCATCACTCTGATCGAGACCGACCGACGAAAAGGCTTCGCGTACGTGGATTTTGCCGAGCACCAGGGACTTGTAAAAGCCGTTGCTGCCAGTCCAGTGACGGTCGGCCAGGGAGCCGTCCAAGTCATGGAGCGAAAGGAGAAGAAGGCAACCAGTGGGGGCTCTGTTGCGCCACCGACGGCGTCAGCTCCTCCACCTGCTTCTTCGACCCCCGCGTCGGCTCAGAAATCAGAGCAGACTACATCCCGGCGAAGTAGGCGCGGTCGGGGCGGCGGCGGCGGCGGGAAAAATGCACAACCTGCCGATGGCGGCAGTCAACAGCAAGCAGGCGCGGCAACGTCTCAGTCAGGCACCAAGGCTGGGTGAGACCATGCTCTACTCTGTATTTGACCTTCCTTATCTTGATGATAAAGTGTCATCTCAAAAATACTTTTGCCAAAGTCAGCCTCTCCGTCTATACACATATACATACAAGAGCTCATTAGGGATATTGTCTAAGTGACAGGAGAGCTACAAAGGCTTGGCCGACGTGAATGGCGTATCTGGCGCCGTCGACAACTGCTACGGAGGAGGAACATCTATGAGCACCCACATCGTTGTCCCCCCGCAACCGGGGTGGGAGAATCAAAGGGCATAACCACAGCGGGCCCTCTATGGAGTAGTTCATACATTGATGCGATGGATGGGGGCACGAAGAGAAGTCTCACAAGGGTACATTTTTAATTGTCAACCGTAAGGGAGTCTTTGCCAGGCTGCCCATCGTGAGAAAGGCAGCTTGACTTTCTCCTCGATGAAAAAAACAAGGGAAAAAACAGAAAAGGATATGATCCTCCGTGAAGCTCTAGATAACTCCCTCTACCATCATAGCATAGGGACACAAAGCAGTGGTAAAGAAAAAGAAAAAAAGAAAAACAAAACCAGCAATAACAAACCAGTCTAATCCCGTGCAGCCGACAAAAGACCAAGATAAGCTGGACCAAACACTACAGAGGCATAGAAGAACACAACTAACAATGCACCCAAGATCATCCCATCCTTTTCGGCGAGTGCTCGGCGCACCCGGGCCTTCAAATCCGTGAGCCAAATCGACTGTCCTGCAGCCCTTCTGGCCTTCCTTAGCCCCGGCAGACCATCGAGACTTGCCAGGTTTTTCAGAATCTGGTACTCGGTAATGGCGCGCTCCCCAGGTCTCTTCTTCCAATAGTCGTCCAGGGTGGGCCGCTCCTCAAAGACCGAGAGACCTTCCGGGTCATCGTCTTCCTTTTTTTGCCCCTCCTCCTCCTCCCCGGCCGCTGCTCCTCCCGATGACAGCAACTGCCGCTTGACTCTGGGGACCGTGTACCCACAGCTTGTCTGTACCTGCCAGACGTGACCCACGATGACGGCGCGCACATCCTCCAAGGTGTCACGGGCGCGACGGTCCGCCACGACGCGGTTAAACCAGGAATCGAACTCCCGGTCGCCGCGCTCGATGATCTTCATGCGGCAGAAGAGGCGCAGGATGCGCGGGGAGCGACCGAATGAGATGAACAAGAGCGTCAGGCGGCCGTTGTCGTAGCCGTTCGCGATCGTCTCGCATCCCGAGCCACTCCGATCGACGTAGGCGATGGTGTTGGAGTCGAATATGGCAAAGTGCGAGGAGGTGTAACCCTTGGGTGAAACATTGATGCGAGGCGTATGTGTGCCGGCTGAGCCCGTGAAAAAGACCGGTTGCCGGGCGGCCCAAGCCGCCAATTCTGGGGATAAAGACGGATAGAGCTTCATCCTGACTCGTTAAGCTTTTATTTCCCCTCCTTCAAGAACCTTGAGAAAGAGGTGGTGGTGGTGGTGGTGGTGGTGGCGATGCCGATCGGAGGGAGTTCAAAACCAGTGGGAACGTATGTGAAGAGGTGGTGATATTTGGCATCGGTGACAATGCCGGTGACGTTGATGTAAAAAATGGAGACGGCGCTCCAAAGCAAAGCCGAACCCCTGGACGGAATAGACACGATATATACGTATCAATTAGTCACAGTTGGAGTTGTGGCTGGGATGAGAAAGGCGGCATCTTGGTCCTTCAACCCCACCGCGGAGGGAATTGGCCCGCATTTGGTGCTGCAGCACGCAATGACTTGCTCGGTAGCGGATTGGACATTCGCTGTGTGTATGCAGAGCGGCACAAGCGAAAAGAAATAATCAGCCAATGCGAGAGTCTCGGTAGTAACTCGGAATGAAGATTGAGGGACAAGTTCGAACTCCGAGGCACACGATCGCACGATCGCACAGTCGTACAATCACGGTCTGCAACGGGGTTTTTAAATAAATAAAAAACAGATTGACAGAACCGATGACACGAGCATTAAGGTAGTTGTCGAATGCGGCTTCTCGATGAGATGATAAAGAAGCTCTCTTGTTCTTTTTCGAAAATTGCTCCATCAGCGTCGTGATCTGTGAGGCTTATCGGAAGGAAGAGGATGACTGTAGTAATCCGCGGCTTGAATCGGATCGTCGGCAAACACAGGTTCGTTAAGATCCGGGCTGTAAGGTGGTGGTACCTGGGAAGTGCGCGGGATGTCGGAGTAAGCCGGAGTTACCAAGGTGGAGACCATGACGGGCCGTGACGGCGCATAGGTGTTATACTTGCGGCTGGCGCTCGGGGGGTGGGAACCGGAGGAAGACGGCTGGGAGGCCGGGGCGGGGTGCGAGTGCGAGGGCGGACGGCCGCCAGGCCCGAATGGCTCCAGGTAGCTACCTCTCCGGCTACGGCCCGAGTGGGCCGAGTGACCCGATTGGACTGAGCGAGCGGAATGGTCCGAATGGGCGGAGTGGCTGCTCACAGGACCCTTTCCGTCCACGTCGAAGCGGCTCCGGAGGCGTTCTTTGTCTTCTCGGTGTCGCTGTTCTCGTTCCTTCTCCTCGCGGTACCTCTGCTCTCTCTCCTTCTCCTCGCGGTACCTCTGTTCTCTCTCCTTCTCCTCGCGGTGTCTTTGTTCTCGCTCTTTCTCCTCGCGGTCCCTCTTTTCCCGTTCCTTCTTTTCACGCTCCTTCTTTTCGCGTTCCTTCTCTTTCTCCTTTTCCTTTTTACTTTCCCTTTCCCGTTCCCTTTCCCGGTGGTGGCGTGAGGCATTGGCATCCTTGGAAGAGGAGGAGGGCCTGGAGTCCGGCCCCAGAGCGCCGGTCATCTCGGCCGGCAGCTCGCGTTCACGAGGTGGGCTGTTACGGATCCGGCGCATTTCATCTCTCAAGTCCTCGTTCTTGTTCCGGAGGCGGATGTTCTCGCCGCTTAGAATCTTGTTCTCGTCCTCCAAGACGCTGTTCCTGTCGATCTGGGCGCGGTAGGTGGCATCAAGGCCCCGGTATTCGGACCGGGCATTTTGCAGCTCGGCCTCGAGCTCCTTGCACTTCTTCTTCCACGTGCTGAGCTCATACTCGGCAGCCTTGAGAGCCTCGGCCAAGGCGTACGGGTCCTTGGACAGCTCCGAGTAGTCTTGGGGTGTGAAAGAGCGATCGGGATTGGATGCGAAGCTGTCTTGGTCACTCAACGAACCCAAGGCCGAGTCGCTTGTCTTGCGATGGTGAGCCCTAGGGCTGGAGCTGCGGCCAGGACTCTTCCTGTGAGATGACCTGTCATGCTTGTCTGACGGCATGGCTGCGAGGTACGTTTGGCTGGCAGTGGCCAACCACTGAGCAGCGTTGATCCTGAAGCTGAAAGTCTTGGGTAGCCGGTTGTATCTGTAGCTATGCCCAAAGAGCGAGCGCAGTATGCGGCAAAGGGGGGCCAAGGGAGAAAAGAGGTGAAGCAGGTGTCAAGTCGTCCAGTAAGTTTGCGATTTTCCCATTCAAGTAGGGCTAGGTAGTTATTTGTTACCGAGAAATCGCGCTGGTCGGGTTTTTCTTATCAGGGGGAGAGAAGACGGGAGGGACAAAAGCAGACCGGAGCCTGACCAGCGTTGGGCTCTAAGGAATGTATATAACACAGAAAGAGCGGGACTTCAGGCTGGAAAGGCACAACCACAACGGGGACTTAATTTCCGTGAGATTGATGAACCAAGCGCCCGAGACACACTTTCATAGCCTGTGAAAAGAAAATCCAAGGAAAGCAAGGGAAGGAAGGCCCTCCGTTTTTATTCCACTTCGACTCGGAGACGTCTCATACCCTTCCTTCGTAGTCAAAACGCCACAAGCAAAACAAAGACTCCCTCTGGTTTGCCTCTCATGCCCTGAGGCAGTACAAGAAGATGGTGTGCTGACTTCAGCATCGGAAAAGGGAGAGAAGGCAGCAATCAGCTCCCCTCCTACCCTCCCCCCCCGCCCCCCTTCCCAAAAAAAAAGGTAGGGGCCAAAAGGAAAGAGGGCAAACAAAAAAACAATTAGGTATTCCGTTTTCTTCGGTCGGTGCCTTGTGAATATGTTCCGGGATCAAAAAGGTGGTCCCTTCTCTTCGGTGGTCATCGGCAGGGGGTAAAAGATCCTGCATGAAAGGCCTGACTTGGCGCTGTCTGTCAGATAAAGCGTAGTCAGAATCGTCACAAAATAGGTCGAAATTGATTTGAGGCAATTATGTACAATTGTGACTGTCTCAGACCGTCAGGGAAACGCTGCCACTATATTTTATATAGTGCAGATTCTGTAAGCGTCCACCCGGATTATACTCTTAGTAATCCGGCCTATTACGTAACCGAAAAGACTATAGTCTATTCGACACACCCCCTAATCGCCCTAAACGTTAGTTAGGCGATTAAAGCTATTCGTAATCGGCAAATAATCCAGCTATCTAATCTATTCGCTATAGCCGCCCTTAAATTCATCCTCCAGGTCCTCTAAATATTCTATCCGGACTTCCTCTAGCTATTTCTGCTATAACCGTTCCCGTATATCCATCACGCCTACCTAGGACCTAAATATCTTAAATTTCTCGCCGTATAACGCCTTCGTTAATCCGTCTACCACTATTTCCGCACTTATAACGTACGTTACGAGTATTTACCCTTATTCCTTTACTTAACGTAACTAGTGGCCGTGGATATCGACGTGGCGGAGGCGCGTTATTAACGTGCTAATCTCTTAATTAACTAATCGAATTGTTTATTTTGAAGATATCTGACGATATCGGATAAACGGAAGGGACGAAAGTCACGAAAAGCAGTGGAAAAATAAGAAGGTAATAATGGGATTGTAAGGTAGGATCTCTGCGCGCGTATTGTCTCTTCTTCGGATCGAAAAAGAGATTAAGATAAAGGATTGAGGATTAAGAATAAAGAACAAAGAAAGGAAGAACCGAACCGAGGGAACGGGTTAATATCCTTTATTCTTTATAAAGGATCGATATCGTAATATTATTGTAATATATATCGATATCGTAGTAATATCGTAATCCATTATATCCTTTATCTGACTCGTAATAGATAAACTGACTCGAAAGAGAACGGTCTAGGCTTGCGGGGAAGATATTCTTTGTTCGAGTACGAAGGATATACTCGAAAGATATTAAGGATATTATTAGTAATAATATTAATATCAAAAAGTTTAGTTATTATCGTATAAGATCCTTAATTCCGGATCGTTAAATTCTACTCCTATACTAAGTAATAGGCGTTATATAAAGATACCCTCTTTTACACCTTATACTAACGCTAATAGCTTTGCTTCCATTATAGACGTTATAACCGTATCCTGCTTATTAGCGCGCCACGCTATTATACCGCTAAATAAGCGTATTACGTACGCTTAACTACTCTTTTAATCGAGGGTATTATCGGTAAAGGAGGCGTTAGTATAGATTTCGATAGCATCGCTACCCCCTAGTTCTAACGCAAACGATTAGCTATTAATTAGATAGAGAATTAGATAATCGGCGGCCTTATAGTAAATAGGCCCTGGATTAACGTTAAACCGGTATAGCCTAGATACTATAAACGCGATATCAGGCCGCGATATCACTACTACGTATAGTATAGATCCTATCTTCCGTTAATAGCTTTTAATATTAGTCGAGGTCCCTAAATAGGGCAGTAGCTCTATAACCTTAATTAGGTGCGTTAGGCGATAGTTACTACTATATTTACTATTCGGCTTTAATAGGCGTTCTAACTTAGTAGTGTAGTCGCGTTATAATAACTAGATTTTACGGGCGACGCGGTCGCGAATAACCTTAATACTAAGGAACCACTATAGAGGATCGCTACCTTATAGGTTATAGTAGCGTTATAGGTTATTAACGGCCTACTCTATCTACGCCTTATAGTATTCCTTATAAGTAATAACGATATCGTTAACGTAGAAGAATAGGAGTAAACCGCGGCGCAGAAAATAACACGGTTCTTACGGTACTATCTAGAAGCCGTCCGCTAAAAGGATAGCCAAAAAGTGCTTTTACTAAAGCAGTAAAGACTCCTTAAGTCTATATAACGCCTTTTTCAGGTATAAACGACTCCTAGGGGCTAAAAAGCCTAGCGGCGGGTATATAAAGATATCGTGGGGGAGGGGCGTGTGTATAAACGCGTTTATAATGTTAAATTATAATAGCGTAAGGTTAAATCGGGCGGCGATAGCTATTAACGCGCGGAATAACCGTCCGGCCAGTATTACTACGTATATCTCCTTAAGCCAGGATTAATACTACTAATCTCCTCGCACTATAAGCCTTACCTTATATTGATATAGAAATCCATATTTATTAAACTTATATATTATCACCTATATCGAATTAAGAACCTAATATCTATCTGCTAGGGATACCGGCACCCGTATCCACGACCCTATCTCCTCGTGGCTCCGCAGGTAGTCTTCTTATACCTATCGGAATAGGTGGCCGTAAGGGTGCGAGGGTATATCGCCAGGGTTCTTCGGAGGAGGAGGGAGGTCTTTATAGTAGATCTCTATAGCCGCCGGGGTAACCGCCGGAGCACCCGCCGAAGTAACCGCCAGGGTTATATTTCCCAAGATAGCCTCCCGGGATATACTTCCGGTAGCTACCGCCGGGGCCGTGGATTTACGGGGTATTATTAAGTGTCGCTATAACGCTATAGGCGTGGACCTTTTCAACCGTAATTTAGTTAGCGGAGTTTTATTTAATATATATATATTAGGTACGTAACGGCTAGCGTTAAATACTATAACCTAATAGTCTCTTTTCTAGCTATCTCCTTACCGAATTAGTTATACTCCTTTATTTAATAGGAGCCCTATAGCCGTAGTTATAGGGGCATCGTAGTACCGTGTTCCGTTATCCTAGAACCCTACGGCTATAGGGGTATCACGGTTTCCTAATATAACGGCTGCTATTAGCACTATAACCGACGGCGGGGTTACTAATAGAGTAGGAAGTAATAGATCGGGCGGATATAGACGGTGATTAGGCGCTATACCGGCTAAATCACACTATTTATAACCTAAATCTTATCCTGATTAACTCGAGATAGCCTCCTCTACCCCTTTACGGCCGGGTATTATGGACTATAACCTTAACGGTAAAGCCGTTAAGGAAGGGGATCCGGGGGCGTTTATCCCCGGATCTAATAATTTAAAATAAGCAGTTATATAAAGGGGGGGGTCCTTAGCTTATACGTCCGTAAACGGCCGTGAATCTTTAGCCCTCTCCTGCTCGATCTAACTAATCAGGTCTTCTAATTACTCCTCGGTTAATTAATAGAGGTTATTCTTAAAGGTGGCGATATCGCCGTTAAAGAAGGCGCGTTCGCTAAAATCTATATCGCGCGTTTAAATAACGCGGTTATAGCGGCGCAGGCTAGATACCTAGACACGGAAAATATTAGTGGAATCGTAGCCGATAAGGTAGCCGATATAGACGCGAGGAGCGATACGATTTAATAGCTTATTAGTAGCCTTCTAAGCGTCCTTTATTATCGCGTACGCCTTATAGCCGTAAGCTTAAAGGTATAATAAAATCGGCTTCCTTATAAACAGGGCCTTATAGGGCGTTTTCCAATCCTTTTACTACCTTCGTGGCGTCCGGTTATAGACGTATACTACCGTGGGAATAGCCTTAGGCTACACAAACGGCGGTAGTTTTACGTGGATATTTATCGCACGACTCTTTAAAATAACCACGGCAGCAGCGCGTTCGGCACTCCCGTTCTATACTTAAGTGTGGGCAGTAGATACCTCTAAAAGGATACCCTCGTCACGCAGGAATTAGGTGATATCGTGGGATTAAGTTAGTTCGTTATCAGATTCGAAAACGCGCACCTTATAGCCTAATTAACGGTCTACCCAGGCGAGGAATTCCTTAATTATTATAAGGATATCCACTGCTAGCTTGCTCTTTATAACGTAGGTGGCCGTAAAACCACTATAACGGTCGGTGAAAAATATAAACCTTAAGTCCCCGTCGGACGTTCGTTTAAAATCCGTGAAATTAATCGCCTATCGCTCCCCTATATAAGTAGGTATAGTGCGAGGGCGCCTGCTAACGTGCCGTTTTATCTTTATAAGCTCGCAGGCCTCGTAGTCGATAGTTATTAGTCCCTTAATTTTAACCCCCTACGTCTGCTCTTCTAGGTGCCTAAGTGGTTTAGGGCCTACATGCCCTAGGCGTAGATACCATAAGATACCCTCCGCAGTGCTTAGATACTATATCGTCGATTTATAGACGCCTTTTCGGGTAGCAGAAGAAGAAGAAGAAGAAGAGCCTAGAAAAGCAGCCGCAGATTAGTTAGAGGGCACGTATTTAATAACGGTTTAATCGAAACGGTGACTTAGCTAGCATAGTATAGATCTATCGGAACACCGAATATAGTTATTTAGTAGCTTCTAATCCCACTAGTATCCTCGAAGACGTAGGCGTTAGTTAGAGATTAAATTACAGGCAAAATCCTCGTAGTATACGACGTTTAACAGCCTAAAATCGAGGCCTTCTATTAGTCCGTTTAATCTCACGGTCACGTTACCGTAACCTTTAATAGGCAGGGATAAACTACCGGCTACTACGTAATCCCCCTACGTGGCGGGTATAAAATCAGAAAAACAGGAAAAATCGTTAAATATATAAATAATAGCGCCGGAATCGAGGATAGCAGAGGTTCGAAGAGGGTAACTAGTAGTAGCGGTTCCTGCTATAAAGCTAGCGGCGTGGGAGACACCGCTACGGACGCTATTACAGTTAAGTCACGCCTCTTTAAGCTATGCAGAGTCCCGGCTCATATCCTTCTTTACCTTCTTTACGGCGCGTAGTTCTTCCACTTCTGCGCGCAGCGAGGGGTCGTATTTAAGGATCCGTTAAACGGTTATTTTAGTGCTCTCGAAGGGTATCCAATCGTTATATACCGTATCCGGGAATAGATAGAAGCAGGCGTTAATATCGTAACTAGGTATAGCGTATACGCGGTAGATCTAACCTCTCTGCAGAGCAGATTAGCGGTATTTAGAAGAGGAACGGTTAGCTAAAGCAGCTAAAGCAGCTAAAGGTATAGCTATAGATACCGCGACAGTAGGATTCTTAGCTTTATTCTTCCTACGGCCGCCCTTCTTACAGGGCTTAGCCGTGGCCTCTAAGGTATCTTCACCCTCTTCGCTTCCGGTATATAGTGCAGGGAATACTATAGCGCGGTGGCTACCGCATTTTCCTTAGTCTTTAAGTCTAGTATTAATATACTTCTAACCGAGGGTATAAAGGTCTTCGGGTATAACTACCTGGTTATCCACTAGGCGACCCTCGGCCTTAGTCTAATCGCGGCCGGTATAAGGGCGTATACCTCTAAAGAAGTCTATAACCTATATATACGTAGCGGGCTTCGAACCGGTATCTTCACAGCTTTATAGCAGTAGCTGCCACTTATCTATCCACTCCCCGAGCTTCTTAAGGCTATTCGTAGGGTAACGGGCATACTCGATATACTCTTCGTGGGTGTCGGTTTAGCGGGTGGCCAGGTACTAATCCGTATCGCGTTTAACGGCTTCGTACACCTTACGAGGTATACCTCCTCGTAGCAGTTATCTACGGCTTTAGTCGATAGTATTAACCTGCTAGGTTAGTATAGCGTTAATCCCCTTTAGGTAGCTATCGTATTACGTTTATAGGATCTTTTAGCGCGCGATTTCGACGTTGTATGCTTTCTGGCTGGCGTCTGTTAGGTCGAGATATTACGTGGGGGTACGCCTAGGTGTTATAGAGGGGAAAGAGTCGTAATTCGGTATTATAGGCTCCTCGGGGGACTAAGTCGGATCGACTAGGCGGAGAAACCTCCACACGCTATTATAGGTGGTAACCGATTCGTATAGGCGTCGCCAGAGCTCCTAATTCTTATAGGTTTTATACGTAACAGGGCTAAGATACGATATCTTAATAGTTATTTATAGATTAACACGCTATATCGGCGTAGCTAAATAGCTTCTTAATTCGGTAGTAGTAGTAAAAGGGTAGATAAAATAGGTATATCTTCACTTAGTAAGTAAGACTCTTAATTATCAGATAAAGCGTAGTTAAAATCGTTATAAAATAGGTCGAAATTAATTAAGGCAATTATATACAATTATAACTATCTCAGACCGTCAGGGAAACACTACCACCGTATTTTATATAGTGCAGATTCTGTAAGCGTCCACCCGGATTATACTCTTAGCAATCCGGCCCATTACGTAACCGAAAAGACTATGGTCTGTTCGACACTATCGAGTCATCGAGAGGTTTCAGGGATAGGATGACGGGTATGTGAGGTGGTATGTATGGATAGGCAGGCAATTTTGAGTCCCAAATTTTAGAGACCCCCCCTGGGCAATATCTTAAAAATTCCCTTCTCGCCGAGTGGACGACCACAGACCAGACGGGAACTGGGGTCTTTTGGGCCGAAAAGGCAAAACAGAAAAAGTGGAAAAAGTAGGGACCGAAGTGACGAAGAATTAATGTATGTACTTGGTAAATGCCGGGTGGAAGGGGGGGTGGGTTTTGCCCGCAATCCGTTGCTGCTCCTCGAGGAACGAGGCCACCAACGCCGCCCCCTTTACGTTGTACTCCTTTTCGCGCACGACGGGTCCTGCCATGACATAGGTACCTACCTTACCTTAGCTAAGGTAGGTACCTATCCTGCTCCGTCCTGTTCCTACCCTGCTCCTGTCTGAGCAACGCTGGGAAACAGGAATGGATCGATTGGCTGGAGCAACAGGCGGTGCAAGACTGGGCTGAAGGAACTTGAGAAAAGCCACCTGGCCACCGAGAGCATTTGAGACTGGCGGTGGCCGATTGCTGTCACCGAAAAGAAAACAGAAAATAAAAAAAAGTCGAAGAAGTTGCATACGCCAATAAGAGAGGGAGAGGAAGAATTGCCAACGGAAGAGGGGTGGGAGGAAGAAAAGAAGGGGAAAAAAGGTTGGAGGAGGGGCGGAGGGAGAGCGAGGTGCATGGTGGGTGGGTACATATGTATGTAATATTTAGTACCGAGTACAGAATAATGTGTGGAGAAGTTACTACACCAAGTGGTACTGATACTTATCAAGCTAAATTACGTTGTACCTACCTTACTGGCTCGTTCGCCAGCCGGAAGATACCCTACAACGTACAAAGTACGTCGCCACGGTTGGGTAATTACGGTACAACACATATTTAGAAGGAGACCAGGCAGGGCCCGTCCCGTAAGGCCGGTTGCTTTGTGGCTCCCATCTTGGCCCAAGGTGAAGAAATAACTGCAGATCGCCATCATGGACCAATGATCCGTCGGATTCGCAACCACAATCATCCGCCGGCTCGGAGGGGTCGAGAATGACGGAAGGTGGGAAAGGAAGGTGCGGAGAGAAG